ACCAGGTCGTGTGTAATATTAACAAAGCTTTACCAGGTCGTGTGTAATAAAGCTTTACCAGGTCGTGTGTAATATTAACAAAGCTTTACCAAGTCGTGTGTAATAACAAAGCTTTACCAGGTCGTGTGTAATATTAACAAAGCTTTACCAGGTCGTTTGTAATATTAACAAAGCTTTACCAGGTCGTGTGTAATATTAACAAAGCTTTACAGGACTTGGGCGGCGTAAATAAAACTACCGCAACTTAGGTGGCGTAAATAAAACTACCGCAACTTAGGTGGCATAAATAAAACTACCGCAACTTAGGTGGCATAAACAAAGCTTTATTAGAGACTCGGTGGCATAAACAAAGCTTAATTAAGGTCTGGGTGGCATAAACAAAGCTTAATTAAGGTCTGGGTGGCATAAACAAAGCTTAATTAAGGTCTGGGTGGTATAAACAAAGCTTTATTAAGGTCAGGATGGGATAAACAAAGCCTTATTAGAAAATGGGTAACAAAGTTCTGATTGAACTTGGGTAGCATGCAGTTTTTTTGGGATTGGCTGGTATAAAAAAGATTTATTAGAGCTTAGGTTGTATAAACAAACTTTTTTAGGGCTTGGGTGGCATAAGTTTTTTTTAATAAAACTTGGATGGCATAACTTTGTTGTTTGGGCATGGGTGCCATAAAAAAAAGTTTTGTTGGATCGTGTATCGAAGTTCTGTGGGGCATCGTGTATCACAAAGTTGTTAAGGATAAGGTAAACAGTTCTGTTAGGTCTTGGGCGGTACAAAGTTCTATTAAGACTTCGTCTTAAAGTTCTGTTAGGTTTTAGGTGTCGTAAATTTTGTTATTAGGTCTTAAGCGGCATAAACAAAGTTCTATTAGGTCTTAGATTGCATAAACAAAGTTCTATTAGGTCTTAGATGGCATAAACAAAGTTCTATTAGGTCTTAGATAGCATAAACAAAGTTCTGTTAGCTCTTAGATGGCATAAACAAAGTTCTATTAGGTCTTAGATGGCATAAACAAAGGTCTATTAGGTCTTAGATAGCATAAACTAAGTTCTGTTAGCTCTTAGATGGTATAAACAAAGTTCTATTAGGTCTTAGCATAAACAAAGTTCTGTTAGCTCTTAGATGGCATAAACAAAGTTCTATTAGGTCTTGGATGGCATAAACAAAGTTCTATTAGGTCTTAGATAGCATAAACAAAGTTCTGTTAGCTCTTAGATGGTATAAACAAAGTTCTATTAGGTCTTAGATAGCATAAACAAAGTTCTATTAGGTCTTAGATGGCATAAACAAAGTTCTATTAGGTCTTAGATGGCATAAACAAAGTTATATTAGGTCTTAGATAGCATAAACAAAGTTCTGTTAGCTCTTAGATGGTATAAACAAAGTTCTTTTAGGTCTTAGGCAGTAAAAACAAAATTCAGTTAGGCTTAGGCAACATACACAAAGTTCTATTAGCTCTGAGGCAGCATAAAGTTCTGTTAAATCTTAGGCGACATAAACAAAGTCCTATTAGATCTTAGGCGAAATTGATGAAGTTGTGTTAGGTGTGAGGCGGCATCAAGGAAGCTAGAGTGGTGTAAGTCAGGAAGAACACCCAGGAAGCTAGAGTGGTGTAAGTCAGGAAGAACACCCAGGAAGCTAGAGTGGTGTAAGTCAGGAAGAACACCCAGGAAGCTAGAGTGGTGTAAGTCAGGAAGAACACCCAGGAAGCTAGAGTGGTGTAAGTCAGGAAGAACATCCAGGAAGCTAGAGTGGTGTAAGTCAGGAAGAACACCCAGGAAGCTAGAGTGGTGTAAGTCAGGAAGAACACCCAGGAAGCTAGAGTGGTGTAAGTCAGGAAGAACACCCAGGAAGCTAGAGTGGTGTAAGTCAGGAAGAACATCCAGGAAGCTAGAGTGGTGTAAGTCAGGAAGAACACCCAGTTAGCTAGAGTGGTGTAAGTCAGGAAGAACACCCAGTAAGTGTTATAAAGCTGAACACACCTTTCTTTTTAAAAGTACTTGGTGGATCATTTGTGCAGAGTTTCCTTGTGTTAGCTGTGTGAACGTAACTGTTCTTGACCGACGTTGTTAGCCGTGTGAACGTAACTGTTCTTGACCGACGTTGTTAGCTGTGTGAACGTAACTGTTCTTGACCGACGTTGTTAGCCGTGTGAACGTAACTGTTCTTGACCGACGTTGTTAGCTGTGTGAACGTAACTGTTCTTGACCGACGTTGTTAGCCGTGTGAACGTAACTGTTCTTGACCGACGTTGTTAGCTGTGTGAACGTAACTGTTCTTGACCGACGTTGTCAGCCGTGTGAACGTAACTGTTCTTGACCGACGTTGTTAGCTGTGTGAACGTAACTGTTCTTGACCGACGTTGTTAGCTGTGTGAACGTAACTGTTCTTGACCGACGTTGTTAGCCGTGTGAACGTAACCGTTCTTGACCGACGTTGTTAGCCGTGTGAACGTAACCGTTCTTGACCGACGTTGAACACAATTTTGTGAAGTTTTCGCTGCTACATCGAACCGAGAATCAGCGATTGATCTAGGGACTGATCTAGGGATTGATCTAGGGATTGATCTAGGGACTGATCTAGGGACTGATCTAGGGACTGATCTAGGGATTGATCTGGGGACTGATCTAGGGACTGATCTAGGGACTGATCTAGGGACTGATCTAGGTACTGATCTAGGGACTGATCTAGGGACTGATCTAGGGACTGATCTAGGGATTGATCTAGGGACTGATCTAGGATTGATCAGGACTGATCTAGGGACTGATCTAGGGACTGATCTAGGGATTGATCTAGGGACTGATCTTGGGATTGATCTAGGGACTGATCTAGGGACTGATCTAGGTACTGATCTAGGGATAGATCTAGGGACTGATCTAGGATTGATCTAGGACTGATCTAGGGATTGAACTAGGACTGATATAGGATTGATCTAGGATGATCTAGGACTGATCTAGGGATGATCTAGGGACTGATCTAGGATTGATCTAGGGACTGATCTATGGATTTGATCTAGGGACTGAATCTAGGGAACTGATCTAGGATTATCTAGGGACTGATCTAGGACTGATCTAGGACTGATCTAGCGATTGATCTAGGGACTGATCTAAGGATTGATCCAGGACTGATCTAGGGACTGCTCTAGGATTGTCTAGATTGATCTAGGGACTGATCTAGGACTGATCTAGGGATTGATCTAGGACTGTCTAGGGACTGATCTAGGACTGATCTAGGGATTGATCTAGGGACTGATTCTAGGGTCGATCAGACTGATCTAGGACTGATCTAGGGAAACGATCTAGGGATTGATCTAGGACTGATCTAGGGATTGATCTAGGGACTGATCTGGATTGATCTAGGGACTGATCTAGGATTGATCTAGGGACTGATCAGGAATTGGATCTAGGGATTGATCCTAGGGACTATCAGATTGTATCTAGGACAGATTACGGACTGATCTAAGGGACTGATCTAGGATTGATCTAGACTGATCTAGAGGATTGTCTAGGGACTAGTCTAGGATTGATCTAGGGACTGAGTCTAGGATTGATCTAGGGACGACTTGGACTGATCTAGGGATTGATCTAGGGATAGATCAGGATTGATCTAGGGACTGATCTAGGGATTGATCTAGGATGATCTAGGACTGATCTAGGGATTGATCTAAGGACTGATGAAGGGATTGATCTAGGGACTGATCTAGGGATTGATCTAGGGACTGATCTAGGGACTGATCTAGGGATTGATCTAGGGACTGATCTAGGGATTGATCTAGGGACTGATCTAGGGATTGATCTAGGGACTGATCTAGGGATTGATCTATGGACTGATCTAGGGATTGATCTAGGGACTGATCTAGGGATTGATCTAGGGACTGATCTAGGGATTGATCTAGGGATTGATCTAGGGACTGATCTAGGGACTGATCTAGGGACTGATCTAGGGATTGATCTAGGGACTGATCTAGGGATTGATCTAGGGACTGATCTAGGGACTGATCTAGGGACTGATCTAGGGATGATCTAGGGCTGATCTAGGACTGTCTAGGATTGATCTAGGGACTGATCTAGGGATTGATCTAGGGATTGATCTAGGGACTGATCTAGGGATTGATCTAGGGACTGATCTAGGGACTGATCTAGGGACTGATCTAGCTATCGATCTAGGGACTGATCTAGGGACTGATCTAGGGATTGATCTAGGGACTGATCTAGGGATTGATCTAGGGACTGATCTAGGGATTGATCTAGGGACTGATCTAGGGATTGATCTAGGGATTGATCTAGGGACTGATCTAGGGACTGATCTTCGGACTGATCTACGGACTGATCTACGGACTGATCTACGGACTGATCTAGGGATTGATCTAGGGACTGATCTAGGGATTGATCTAGGGACTGATCTAGGGATTGATCTAGGGACTGATCTTGGGACTGATCTAGGGATTGATCTAGGGATTGATCTAGGGACTGATCTAGGGACTGATCTAGGGATTGATCTAGGGACTGATCTAGGGATTGATCTAAGGACTGATGAAGGGACTGATCTAGGGATTGATCTAGGGACTGATCTAGGGATTGATCTAGGGATTGATCTAGGGACTGATCTAGCGACTGATCTAGGGATGATCTGGGACCTGATCTAGGGATTGATCTAGGGACTGATCTAGGGATTGTCTAGGGATGATCAGGATGATTAGGGACTGACTAGGGACTGAATCTAGGGATTGATCTAGGGACTGATCTAGGGATTGATCTAGGGACTGATCTAGGGATTGATCTAGGGACTGATCTAGGGACTGATCTAGGGATTGATCTAGGGACTGATCTAGGGATTGATCTAGGGATCTAAGGGATATCTAGGGACTGATCTAGGGACTGATTAGGTGACTGATCTAGGGATTGATCTAGGGATTGATCTAGGGATTGATCTAGGACTGATCTAGGGATTGATCTAGGGATGATCTAGGACTGATCTAGGGATTGATCTAGGGACTGATCTAGGGACTGATCTAGGGACTGATCTAGGGATTGATCTAGGGACTTATCTAGGGATTGATCTAGGGATTGATCTAGGGATTGATCTAGGGACTGATCTAGGGACTGATCTAGGGATTGATCTAGGGACTGATCTAGGGATTGATCTAGGGATTGATCTAGGAACTGATCTAGGGATTGATCTAGGGATTGATCTAGGGACTGATCTAGGGATTGACCTTGGGATTGATCTAGGGATTGATCAAGGGACTGATCTAAGGACTGATCTAGGGATTGATCTAGGGACTGATCTAGGGATTGATCTAGGGATTGATCTAGGAAATGATCTAGGGATTGATCTAGGGACTTATCTAGGGACTTATCTAGGGATTGATCTAGGGATTGATCTAGGGACTGATCTAGGGACTGATCTAGGGATTGATCTAGGGACTGATCTAGGGACTGATCTAGGGATTGATCTAGGGACTGATCTAGGGACTGATCTAGGGACTGATCTAGGGATTGATCTATGGACTTATCTAGGGATTGATCTAGGGACTGATAGGGACTGATCTAGGGACTGATCTAGGGATTGATCTAGGGACTGATTTAGGGACTGATCTAGGGATTGACCTAGGGATTGATCTAGGGATTGATCTAGGGACTGATCTAGGGATTGATCTAGGGATTGATCTAGGGACTGATCTAGGTACTGATCTTGGGACTGATCTTGGGACTGATCTAGGGATTGATCTAGGGATTGATCTAGAGACTGATCTAGGGATTGATCTAGGGACTGATCTCGGGACTGATCTCGGGATTGATCTAGGGACTGATCTAGGGAGTGACCTCTCTGAATGTAGGTGAGGTGCAGCGGAGGTAATCTTGTTTGATGGTAAAACAGTGTGAAATTTTTAATTTAAACCGGGTGTTTGTGTGTGTGTGTACTACCTATTTGTGGTTGCAGGGGTCGAGTCATAGCTCCTGGCCCTGTGTTTGTGTGTGTGGTGAAAATAAATGCGCAGGAGGATTTTGTGTGTTTCCAGTTTATTATATGTACAGAAAAAACCCATTTAGACTGAAATTTGTGGAACTTTACAGTTAATGATACAGTAAATATATTTTTATTACTGGAATATTTAACATATCCGTCGCTATCATTCTTCATCTGTGGTGAGACTTGTCTAAACTACAGTCGTAGTTTCTTGGTCTTGTTCTGTGGTCATCCTAACTAGTTATACCAGCCTCATGTCATCCCTCCTGAATGTTCCAAACTATTTGAATAACATTTCTTTATATAATTGAATAACATGTCCTCTTCATACATTTTAATAACATGTTATTCAAATATATGAAGAAGACATGTCCTCTTCTCGTCCTGTTGTATAATGCCCCAGTAAACAAAACAGATTCCTTTAGCTCTATGAAATCTCCTTTTTATTTTATCAAAACTAGACCTGTAGAATATCAGTGAGGTTAATAATCTTGGCCGGGATTTCCATATCATGAAGCCGGTTTTGACTTGCCTACTGTCTCTTTGGTGTCCGTGGTAACCCTGTTTTTGTACTCCCTAATTTCAACCACAAGACCTGGTTCTACTTCCTAATTTGTGGAGTACTGCGGGTTTTCCAGCTACTCGCTAAGGTACTAGATTAGTAACTTGCGGTGATGTGTGCTGTAGCGAAGAGTGTATTCTCTACCTAGCAAGGCTATACTCGTGCCCACCTAGCCCTAACATAGACCTGATATCCTAACACTTTCCTCTCGTCTATCACACATTTGGTGATCTTTTCCCAAGACAAAATTCAACCTTCTCTCAAACTCCATCTCTCGTTTTCCGACGTCTCCAGTTATCTTCCGCAAAGCCCCAATGTCTTGGAAGTATCTGCATTATATCTACAAGTGTTAGGTGATCAAGCCACCAGTATAAACCAGGCTTGAAATAAACCAGCCTGTGGGTTCCTTACAACAAAGCCGTCTGTCACATCCTATCCTTTATACAGTGGAGAAAATTCTAGCAAGAGCGCAGACGCGCTGTAGATGATGGCCAAGTCTAGGTGGTTGTAGCAGTGTGCAGATCAACCAGGTGAAGTGAAGCCACCACTGGTGGGGTTGAGGCTGGTGTGAAGGAGTCGGGCGTGGCCAACCCTGGCAGTCTGTTCACACAAACTCAATAGAATAGTCTGCGCTGAAACCCTTCACATCGACGGCGTACTTGTTGTCTGCTTGACACTCGTAGTAGCCGGCGTCCATCTGGGTAGCCGGGTCAATCTCCATCTTACTCTTAATGGCTGCCTCACCCTCCTTCCATTCGTGTACCTGCCAACACAAACTGCATCACCCTCCTTCCATTCGTGTGCCTGCCAACACAAACTGCATCACCTTCCATTCGTGTACCTGCCAACACAAACTGCATCACCCTCCTTCCATTCGTGTACCTGCCAACACAAACTGCATCACCCTCCTTCCATTCGTGTACCTGCCAACACAAACTGCATCACCCTCCTTCCATTCGTGTACCTGCCAACACAAACTGCATCACCCTCCTTCCATTCGTGTACCTGCCAACATAAACTGCATCACCCTCCTTCCATTCGTGTACCTGCCAACACAAACTGCATCACTCTCCTTCCATTCGTGTACCTGCCAAAGCAAACTGCATCACTCTCCTTCCATTCGTGTACCTGTCAATGCAAACTGCATCACTCTCGTTCCATTCGTGTACCTGCCAACGCAAACTGCATCACTCTCCTTCCATTCGTGTACCTGCCAAAGCAAACTGCATCACTCTCCTTCCATTCGTGTACCTGCCAACACAAACTGCATCACTCTCCTTCCATTCGTGTACCTGCCAACACAAACTGCATCACTCTCCTTCCATTCGTGTACCTGCCAACACAAACTGCATCACTCTCCTTCCATTCGTGTACCTGCCAACACAAACTGCATCACTCTCCTTCCATTCCTGTACCTGCCAACACAACCTGCATCACTCTCCTTCCATTCGTGTACCTGCCAACACAAACTGCATCACTCTCCTTCCATTCGTGTACCTGTCAACACAAACTGCATCACTCTACTTCCATTCGTGTACCTGCCAGCACAAACTGCATCACTCTCCTTCCATTCGTGTACCTGCCAAAGCAAACTGCATCACTCTCCTTCCATTCGTGTACCTGCCAAAGCAAACTGCATCACTCTCCTTCCATTCGTGTACCTGTCAACACAAACTGCATCACTCTCCTTCCATTCGTGTACCTGCCAGCACAAACTGCATCACTCTCCTTCCATTCGTGTACCTGCCAACGCAAACTGCATCACTCTCCTTCCATTCGCGTACCTGCCAACACAGACTGCATCACTCTCCTTCCATTCGTGTACCTGCCAAAGCAAACTGCATCACTCTCCTTCCATTCGTGTACCTGCCAACACAAACTGCATCACTCTCCTTCCATTCGTGTACCTGCCAACACAAACTGCATCACTCTCCTTCCATTCGTGTACCTGCCAACACAGACTGCATCACTCTCCTTCCATTCGTGTACCTGCCAACACAAACTGCATCACTCTCCTTCCATTCGTGTACCTGCCAAGACAGACTGCATCACTCTCCTTCCATTCGTGTACCTGCCAACACAGACTGCATCACTCTCCTTCCATTCGTGTACCTGCCAACACAAATTGCATCACTTTCCTCTTGCTCGTGTAGTCTCCTATCACTGCCATCTTAAATTACATAAATTTTGTTAAAACCTATTTAAAATCTTACATCAAAAAGAATATATTGGTAGTCAAATTAGACTAAAGTTTACTGGCTTGTGTTATACCGTCACATCCTTATAATAGACCTTGGTTAATATAGTGGAGGAACATTGGTTTAGGTTGACCTTGGTTAATATAGTGGAGGAACATTGGTATAGGTTGACCTTGGTTAATATAGTGGAGGAACATTGGTATAGGTTGACCTTGGTTAATATAGTGGAGGAACATTGGTATAGGTTGACCTTGGTTAATATAGTGGAGGAACATTGGTATAGGTTGACCTTGGTTAATATAGTGGAGGAACATTGGTATAGGTTGACCTTGGTTAATATAGTGGAGGAACATTGGTTTAGGTTGACCTTGGTTAATATAGTGGAGGAACATTAGTTTAGGTTGACCTTGGTTAATATAGTGGAGGAACATTTGTAAATCTGGTTGTAAATGTGTATTACAACTTTCATATATGTGGTATTTTTTGGTTTCGGTTTTCTTGCCGCTGAATTATTCGTGTCTTTACACAAATATTTTTAAATTGAGTTACAGTTAATGTTAATTTACAAAATCATCCCTGAATTTGAATTAGATATTTTATGATCTTTGCTTAGTTGTGCAAAACAAACAGCTAAACAAATTCTTGGCTAATTTTTCATGTTTGAATTCACTGAGATTAATGTTTTTATTGGTTACAAAAATCAGAGCATGCATAGTTCCTTTGTATAAAGGCAAAGGGGACAAAAGAGAGTGCAAAAATTATAGGGGGATAAGTCTGTTGAGTATACCTGGTAAAGTGTATGGTAGAGTTATTATTGAAAGAATTAAGAGTAAGACGGAGAATAGGATAGCAGATGAACAAGGAGGCTTTAGGAAAGGTAGAGGGGGTGTGGATCAGGTGTTTACAGTGAAACATATAAGTGAACAGTATTTAGATAAGGCTAAAGAGGTTTTTGTGGCATTTATGGATTTGGAAAAGGCGTATGACAGGGTGGATAGGGGGCAATGTGGCAGATGTTGCAGGTGTATGGTGTAGGAGGTAGGTTACTGAAAGCAGTGAAGAGTTTTTACGAGGATAGTGAGGCTCAAGTTAGAGTATGTAGGAAAGAGGGAGATTATTTCCCAGTAAAAGTAGGCCTTAGACAGGGATTTGTGATGTCACCATGGTTGTTTAATATATTTATAGATGGGGTTGTAAGAGAAGTAAATGCGAGGGTCTTGGCAAGAGGCGTGGAGTTAAAAGATAAAGAATCACACATAAAGTAGGAATTGTCACAGTTGCTCTTTGCTGATGACACTGTGCTCTTGGGAGATTCTGAAGAGAAGTTGCAGAGGTTGGTGGATGAATTTGGTAGGGTGTGCAAAAGAAGAAAATTCAAAATGAATGCAGAAAAGTGTAAGGTTATGATGATAAAAAGATTAGGTGATGAAAAATTGGATATCAGATTGGAGGGAGAGAGTATGGAGAAGGTGAATGTATTCAGATATTTGAGAGTGGACGTGTCAGCGGATGGGTCTATGAAAGATAAGGTGAATCATAGAATTGATGAGGGGAAAAGGGTGAGCGGTGCACTTAGGAGTCTGTGGAGACAAAGAACTTTGTCCTTGGAGGCAAAGAGGGGAATGTATGAGAGTATAGTTTTACCAACGCTCTTATATGGGTGTGAAGCATGGGTGATGAATGTTGCAGCGAGGAGAAGGCTGGAGGCAGTGGAGATGTCATGTCTGAGGGCAATGTGTGGTGTGAATATAATGCAGAGAATTCGTAGTTTGGAAGTTAGGAGGAGGTGCGGGATTACCAAAACTGTTGTCCAGAGGGCTAAGGAAGGGTGGTTGAGGTGGTTCGGACATGTAGAGAGAATGGAGCGAAACAGAATGACTTCAAGAGTGTATCAGTCTGTAGTGGAAGGAAGGTGGGGTAGGGGTCGGCCTAGGAAAGGTTGGAGGGAGGGGATAAAAGAGGTTTTGTGTGCGAGGGACTTGGACTTCCAGCAGGCATGCGTGACCGTGTTTGATAGGAGTGAATGGAGACAAATGGGTTTTTAATACTTGACGTGCTGTTGGAGTGTGAGCAAAGTAACATTTATGAAGGGGTTCAGGGAAACCGGCAGGCCGGACTTGAGTCCTGGAGATGGGAAGTACAGTGCCTGCACTCTGAAGGAGGGGTGTTAATGTTGCAGTTTAAAAACTGTAGTGTAAAGCACCCTTCTGGCAAGACAGTGATGGAGTGAATGATGGTGAAAGTTTTTCTTTTTCGGGCCACCCTGCCTTGGTGGGAATCGGCCAGTGTGATAATAAAAATCATTAAGCAGTATGTAATATTTTCTCTTACAAATTTCGTTTATTATTGAATTACTATAACATGTCAGCCATTGTATACAACAATACTGTACTTAATGTCAGCTTTATACAGGTTGCAGTAATACGTAGAAGATGTAAATAAATGAAGTATCGTCTGCGATATCTTGTTAATACTTATTTAGACTCGAAAGTAAATTAAATATTATGCCAGAGACTTTTATATACTGTAGTTGAACTTCATACGTCATAGTACCCGATCAGCCGGGCGGTGGTTCGCATGTTCGTACGGCCAGCAGTAACAGTTTGGGTGATCAAGCCCTGATCCACCGGGAGGCCTAGTCAAGGACTGGGCCGCGGGGGTGTTGATCCCTGAACATCCTCCAGGTTCATGTTATAACCTGTGTTGTAACCTAAGTGTCTGAAAATCTGCGGTGGTGACACGCCAGATTTTACTATCTCTCTGGATACATAACACACATCATCTGTGAGTAAATCTTGTGTTATTGAATCTTAGTGAAGACAACTATTGTATTAGCACATGTAGTTAATTATCTAAGTGTCTTCTTGCGATAATTATTCTCATAGTTTTTGAATGATTAAGAACATCACCAAGAGGAACATTGATGAAGAGGGACTCGACGTCAAGACTAAGCATCTTACAGGTCGGGAGACGTCGCACACGTTCCATGTAGTCTTGAGAGTGATCGATATGAGCAGTAGAAGAAGTACCAAGGAAAGAAGTGAGAGTTTTGACCATCCAAGAGGCTGGCCAAAACTCACTCCATTAACTAGTAACTCACACAGCGTGTTACTAGTTAATGGACCAAGTCGGACCGAAGTGGTCCGACTTGATCCATTGTGCCCTTTTATTCTTTTTAGATGCAGATACCATGGAACCCCTGGTACTTGGAACTTTATCAAAACTTGTTAAAAAAAATTAACATTATCATATTCTGTCTGTTGTCAGGCCTAACTCACCATTATTCACCCTTTCCAAAATATGGCAGTAAACCAATCCTAAATTTAAGCTAAAGTGATAGTACAAGATTGCTAAACATATGGACTCACACAATTTAATCACTCCAGGGCAACGTGTATTTAGAGCAAATCGTTTAACCTATCACAAATGTCAAATTTCCTGCTTTTGACGTACGAAATGTATCGAGTTAAATGTTGATGCGATAAACATAGATTTCGCGAAATTCTTCAAGTGGGATCATTACGTAATACATATGATGATCGCAGAAGGAATAACTCGAGAAGTGGGAAGATTTTTTTTTTTTAATAAATTAGACCCATTGATCAACAGTAACGGCAAAAATAGTGTTTCCCAATGAACAGATACGGAACTATTGCAAATTCGTTTTCAGTCATATATAACATAGAAACAGATCATAGAGCTGTGTTATTGTTGGCAAAGAATACTAGAGTTTACGAGAGGTAATATCAATATTGAACACGAAGCTACAAGCCGAGTGTAAAATAATGAGAACCGGAGCGAGTATTGTGCCTTCAGGAATAATTTTTATACTTTGAAGGCTTTGTAAGTCGTACTCTGTTGTGGAAAAAAATTAAGAGATGTAACTGTAATAAAGTATAAACAAGATCATACCACTCATAGAAGGGAAGAGGATTTTAGAGGCTCTAAGGGAAACCATGTAGGAAGATTAGAGGTTTAAGGAACAACACAAAAGTTAAAATTAAAACTGCAAAGAATTTGGGAAGTTTGGTAAGAAATTTAATACGAATAACATCAATCAAAATTCATCATAATTCATACTTTCCAAAGTGTTAGCTGGGTTTATTGTGCCAGTACCTGAAACTGCGATCACCTAACCTTACTCAGCTACTGACATGTGACTATTACCTGGTTCACCTGCGGACTTCTCTACAACCCATATAAATCCACGTGTATTGTTCTGTCTTTTAATTGATAAAGTCTCTGGTAGACGAAACGTCTTCACATTATAATGCCATAACCCGTATTTCGCGTCTTGTTTACATATTGTCTTCTATTTTATTACTACGTGTATTCTCTCTGAATTGGAATATTATTGTACAATAACATCCCCATTTAAGGTAGGCAGAATTGCACATCTAAACATTGTACAGAAAAATTTCATTACTTGAATCAGTTTAGAAAAGCACTTTAATTACCAGGAATTCACAAAATCCTCAAAGCTCTCCCTGGCATGCAGGTAAAACAGACTGGTTATAATTTATACTTTTAAGATACAGATGGAGTTAGTTCCAAATGTGTACACTGAAATATCCCTTTACGACAGCTGGAGCCATGAATGACTGTGCAAAATACCCCAGTTAAAGCTAGGAATGACTAAGTTCAGTGAGATCATTTAGTGACTGACATACCCAGGACTTTATACCATCCTGCCTTCAAATATAAAATGAATTACCAACGACCTTTAGCAGCTCTTAAAAGGAAACTTAACATGTTCCTCGAATTCCGGGCTGTGGTACCATCGTTGGACTGTCCATATCGAGCTTTAGCAGCCTCACTGAGCAGGTCGTCAACCAGGAGGCCTGGCCGGAGACCGGGTCCAGGAGGCGAGGGGCACCATTAAGAAGTAATCAGTAGGTAAAATTTCTAGTTCAACTTAAAATAATTCGTTGTAATATAGGAGCTCTGTGCAAGCTCCCGAAGCTTAATGACCGGAGGGGGATAGTTAATGTTTTCACAACACCAACCTTGACTCTTATATCGTCATGGTTGACTGGCGCTGGTGCAGTGTTGGAGGTAGTGACTCCAGTGCAGGTTGTATATGCCAGTGATATACGTGTAACGGGTTTCGAAAGTCTTATTACTCCAGCATCTCAGGTTGGGACCAGGGTTGCATCAGCAGCAGTCTGGTCAACCAGGCTATTGTTGTTGCTGCTGTTGGAGACCCACTGGCCTGCATATCCATCACAGCCTGGTTGATCTAGCACTTGGTAGTGATCAGGTTTCTCTTGAAGACTTCTACAAGTATTTTGGAAGTATTTCTGATATCTACTTGTAGAAGACTACTCGAGGTCCATATATGTTAATACAGTATTTCTTTTTTTATACCTATAGCACCCAATCTTTTCACTGGATTTTACACCACCTGACATGTCTCTCATTCCAGCACATGCACACTGTTATAGTTTAGGACTAGAGTCTAGGGCAAAGTTTCTTAACCTTTTTACGATTACAGACCCCAAATAGATTGCCCAATATGTCCCCATATCCCCCTTCTCTAGACTGTCGAAATCATTACTGCTCCTATTAGGTACTAGTATGACTTCATATGGATAACTAGGAACAGAACAGGTGATAGTTTATGGTAATCCAACAGCAACATTTTTTAAAGATTCAGAGATCGTGTCTCATACCTCCTTTGTTTGGTTCCCATACCCCCAAGGGGTTTGGATACCCTATGTTAAGAACCCTTGGGTTACTCGACCTTCCAGTATCTCCCGTGTATATATTATCGTACATCTCGTTTCCTGTGCTTAAAGAGTACATATTCAGTTACTTTGAGGTGTTCCTGGTAGTTTAAATATGTTACATGTATTAACTCTTTATGTGAGGTATATAATCTCGGTATCTGTTTCTGCTTTGATACCTACTCCTATGAGCAGAGCCGTCATCATCAAAGAGTACTCCAAGCGAGAGAACACAAGTGATTTGAACAGTCACTAGAGGCAATATTTTTCTTATTTTGAAAGTTTTCTCTATCCACTCCATCGTTTTTCTAATTTTTGCGACATTCACCTTTTTGTGCTCTCTAAATGAAAAAGAGCTGAGATGATTACACCCAGGTCTGTAACATGTTGCTTTCATTCTATAATGTGATCCTGTGTTTTGTATGTAGTTCTTATTGCGAGTTCTTCATTCTTTCCACACCTGAGCATTGAATTTGTCACCAGTGAACATCATGTTCTTTTTTAATGCCCATCGAAAGACTTTTCTTATATACTTTTGCAATTTGT